TGTTTGTTACAAGAATAGTTGCATGGATATGGAAAGAATTATAATGATTTTCTATTTTCTTGATATAATACGTATAACCGTTCATTTTTTTAAATTACGATAGTTTTTTTTTATTATCCTTTAATTGGAATGTCTGTTCATTTGTAAAAATTATTCTAAACGAATGTTTCTTTATGATTACGTTATTTCAGTGGAATTTGGTATGCAGTCGAACGCATTACGCTAATATCCAGCAATCTATTTTGATGTTTGGCGTACTTTTGGGCAATATCATATTTGGCAATATAGCAGATAGGTACATATACTATCGATTCTTTTTTCACGAATCAAACTTTGTATCTTGTCAAATTTGAAAGATCGAAATTTATTACTCTCTAAATTTGTCATTCAAATTCAGGTACGGTAGAAAAATGCCGCTGATGATAGCAGTAGTTCTTCAATTAGTTTCCGGTATCGGATGTGCTGTCGTGCCATGGTTTCCAGCACTCTTATTAATGAAATTGCTTAGTGCTTTAGCTACTGGAGGTACCATGGTTACCAGTTACGTCATTTGTAAGTAATAATTTAATATTAATAAATATATAATCACATACACTGTTATTTAAGTTCTTCGTTGCAATTTGGATACTTCTTCGTTGAAAATTTCATTCCAATATAACACTAAAATTTGTATACTGTAACGATTTTTAATTTATAGACAATTCAGTGATAATTATAAATATTTAACAGGTATGGAGATTGTTGGAACACAATGGCGCGCAGCCATCACAGTACTGTATCAAATTCCATTTAGTTTGGGTCATATGTCACTAGCCGGATTTGCATTTTTATTTCGTCACTGGCAACATCTTCAAATCGCCATCACATTACCCTCTATCATTCTCTTAAGTTATTGGTGGGTCGTACCTGAATCTCCTAGATGGTTGCTTGCCTTTGGAAAGCAACGAGCAGCTTGTAAGATTTTACAGAAGGGTGCCAATATTAACCAAATTAAAAACAAGGACATTCCAGACATGGTCAGAAAACACTGTTTGCAGCAGGTAAAATTTCTAAATTTCTGTTTGATTGTAACGACACCGAAAATTTCATTTTTACTCGTTCGTTGTCGCTTTTATTCGCACAAAATTCCCATGAAACTTATATTTATATCATCCATTATTTCCATTAATATTCGATGTTTTTACAGAATTCCAAACGATCACATTTGGATTATAAAGCATCGTTCTTGGACCTGTTTCGCACGCCCAACATGAGGATAAAATCGCTGTCGATTTTCTTCAATTGGATCGTTTGCGGGATGGGGTTGTTTGGAATGTCTCAATATATAGGACAAGTCGGTGGAAATATATTCATAAATTTCACTGTTTCTGGCGCCATACAGATACCTGGGAATTTCGTTGCTTGGTGGGCAATGAACAAACTTGGTAGAAGGATCACCTTAATTTGTAGTAACTCGATCGCTGGCGTTGCGGCTCTTTTGCTCATCATTGTCTCAGATGGTACATATATTCGTTTCGATCGAATGTTTTTCTAAATGAGTATTATCAAACAAAGATCACAGAGCAAAGATATGATAAGTCGAACTTTTATTCTTTATAAGGATTTCGTTTATCATAATTCCTCGAGAGATAGGTACTTTTCGCAGCCTATCATTTTTTGTTCACGTGCTAAAAGTTCATATTCCGTTAAGTGGACTTAAGAGGCAGGAGTTCATTTAACGAGGCACTAAGTAAAATTTTCAGTAGAAAGAAGTTCCAGTAAAATAGGTGCAGATGAATGTATTGTAATTCCCAATTAACTGAACTCCTACCACCCGAATCTAACTGTTTGAACGTGAACTTTTATCATGCGGAGGAAAAGTAGTAGCGATAGGTAACGAAGGATTCCTCATAAAAAAAATAAAAAATGATATCCTTGATATTTTACAAAACGTCGTAAGTCCTTTACTAATTCCCTAAAAACTTGCATTTTTGAACCTTTAATAAGTTGGTTTCATGTCACAGCTACATAAATATAAGTACTGAAACATAGTACTTATTTCTATTTTAACCAGTAAAACAAAATTTTAAAATCAGAAAATCAATAAAAATGGTCTTATCGTATATTTCCTCTGTTATTTTGATTTTTAACGAACCAAATGATTGTATTTTCTTTATTTTATCGATGCACGTTTTACTTGTTGCAGATATCGCGTGGCTTCGATTAATTCTAGTCTGCTCGGCCATCGTTGGCATGTCTGTCTCCTTCACCACTGCTTATCTATTTTCCGGTGAATTATTCCCTACGGTCATTAGGAACATCGGTGTGGGTACCAGCAGTATGTGCGCCAGGATAGGCTCTATTTCAGCACCCTTCATAGTATCTTTGGTAAGTTCGAGGATAAGAATGTGAGATTCGCCTGTTAACGAGTTTATTGTGCTCGCGAAAACAGATACAGACGGCGGTAGATGTGCTCAAATGAGATAACGCGGTATGGTACTCATAGTATAAATAGTAAATAGCAAAGTATTCATATTTAATCATTCATAATGTGATTAGTAGAAAAAAAGTTCTCTTTTAGAACGAGTTTCTTTATGTTCTCAGAGACCGAGTATATTTCATTTCTACAGGCCATCGATAAAGAACAAATTTTTTATTTACTCAAACCTTATGTTTTTCGTATATTCACTATTAATAAGTTTTTATTAATTTCTTAAAGGATCACCTTCAAACTTGGCTTCCACCAGCTTGTTTCGGGATCCTTCCACTCATCGGTGCCGCGCTTTGCTTTTTATTGCCAGAAACAGTTGGATGTACACTGCCAGAGACGCTCGAAGACGGCGAAAATTTTGGGAAGTTAGTGTAATTTTTGATACTTTTAGGATACTTAATTCTCAACAGCTAAATCGCGGACTTTTGTACATTTGCTTTTTATTACATTTTAAAATACTCTTTTTGGTATTTGTTATAGGAAACCCCATAAAATAAAGAAGAATCCAAAAGATATTGAAGCAGAAGCGGCACTTTGAACGAAGACTGAGATTAACTGTTATTACTTAGAGATTATTAAAAAAAAAAAAATTAGGAAAAAATTGCGTGGAGAAGTAACAAAATCGGAAACGTGGCGTTTTATAAAGCAATTAGCTGTATATATAAATGACACTGAGAGCATTCCGCTTTTTTATTTATTATATTATTATATCCACAAATTTATCGGTGTTTCTCTTCACACGTATCGAAGCACACCGATTTCATTTTCCGACAAATTTTTTACTTATTATTAATAGCTGATAAACTAAATCAGTATATACATTTGTTCGTATGGAAACAAAACTTCTTAATAAAAGAGTAGTACAATTATTCTAAGGCGCTTTAAAGATGTTTTTGATATCGAAAGTTTCATAGAATCGAAGAACGTTACTTACTGGCGAATGTAACAACTGCGAGTAGAGTGCCTTATATCATTTGTATGCAAATGTCTAAATAGATCATATATTTTATAAAAGTGAAATGTTATTTCTCTCCGTCCTTTGCAGTGTTCTTCTTCTATGTATAAAATGTAAATCTGCATAATGGTACAATAACATTAATTAATTCAATGTTAGTGAAAGTGAAACAATTTTTTAGATATATGAATGTGCGCCATTTGGTACATATTGGTATTAGTTATTTTAAGTAATTTCATAATTTTACAATTTGCATTGAATAAAATACAGACGATTACATTCCTGGAACTGACCATTCTTTCTTTTTTCCTACAAACGATTAGCTATGCAAGTCCTATTATCCTATGTTTATCACCTTTATATCATAAGACAATCAACGCGTTTACGTAACTGACAATTTTTTATTGATACGATGTATTAAAAATATTTTGATGCATCTATCTTACATTTTCATGTTTTTCCAAAAAAAAAGAAAAAAAAAAGAAACAATTATAGGCGTAAAAATGTACAAAAATTCATATTTATCAGATTTCTTCCCGCTGCTTTCGATTCGTAATCTAAATTTTTGAATATCGGCGAAAATTTAGAGATAAATGACGCGAATGTTATAAATTGTAGTATGTAATTTAACATTATTGATATTATGAAAATGCAGTGACATTAGTAATTAATTGAAATAACTGATGCATACATTTCATGCAAAAACTTGGTACGGAATCTTCAATGTCTGTAATTATTTTTGTAAACTTAAGGATAACATCGTTTTTTTTTCTGTTGACGGTAAGAATGTTTTTGTTTTTGTTCGTTTTGTGGTTGAGACTGACGATAAATCCAAGCATGCAATACCTGTTCTACTCGTTTCAATAACCGGACGAAATAAAGTACCTATTCAATTTTGTTATTTGATTTATCTACTTTAATCTCCCATAGAAATATCTTTGATGACACATTGGTTTGATGACTCAGATATTTATAGAAAATGTTGACATCGATGTTATTTTTTATGTCAAAAAATAACTATCTTCTTGCTCTAAATCAATTGTCTTTAATTATTAATAATTGTGTTAATATATCGCTATTGTTATTTAAATATGACCGTCTTAGGCTATTTAATTCAGATTGTTTTCATCATGGCTACGAATGCCTCTATCAAAATCCGCATTTATTTACGGTAGGTACATACAAAAAATGTTACGCACTATGTGCGCTATTGAATGGATTTCCGTTTACCGGATGAAGCTGTTTGAAGCTTAAAGAGTTTTGTGCTGTTGCTTCGACTGCTGCGATTTTTCACGGAAGCGTAACAAAAGCAACGAACAATAATTAACGGAAATAACAGCGGCGATACAAACGCCGCTTTATATAATAATGCTCTTTAATTACAAAATATTGCCATTATATTATGATTTTTATTTCCGTTAAAATAGTTTTTATTTATAATAATTGGATTTTATTTATAAATAATGCATAAAATATGAACTAGTTCCCTTAAAAACTTTAATCTTCTGATTATCGAAACATTAATGTACATTATGATCGTAATCATCCAGGAAGACTTCTAGCTATATAAAATATCATAGCACAATGGACCATAACGTCATTCCGTCTTGATCCGCTTCAGCTGAAGGTCGGGTTGTTCTTCGAATACAAATAACGGACTATTCGCGTCCTCATTACAACATTCAGGTTTAGGCAGCCTCAGTTCTACGTTTTTCTTCGATCATACCAGTTCAACCTTGCCATTGGACGTTCGACTCAAACAAATAGAAACAGAAGTAAGGAAACGTGATTTTAATTTACTAGAACAATTACGGGGACTTATTTTTCATTATTACATTTCTTTACAAAAATTCGATAGAGAAATCATAGTCGAATAAACGTGACGAAAGTGCCTCTAAACCAAATTAAATTTGCGTGATACGTCAATCGAAATCGCCTCGACAAAGTTTCAGCCTCCTATCATTATTATTATAAAATGCCAATTTTACATTAAAGTTATCAAGTGACAACATTTATATTTTTGCAGTAAAAGCTGCCTGTCGTATTTATTAATTCACAATTTTCTCAGATTTTTTCGAGTGGTGTGTTATAATTAAAAAACTTAAATACCCAATTTTTTTAACCTTTCGTGCATCTAAGGGTGACTTATTTTGCAATTCTAAATAATTTTATGTTTATCAAACGAGTGAATTTAGAATGTTTTATCTTCTGCTGATCTTCGTCGTTGTCAACGTTGATCACAGCATTTATTCGCTCAACATCGAAGATTTCGTCGAGTATTTCAGTAGACCTTATAATGTGTGTCATATATCTAGTGTGTTGTAAGAAATAAATTATCGCAGTGATATGCGAGCAACAAAAATTTTATTCCCAAGCAGCCAATTGAGTTTGTTTATATACTTTATGTTGCACTTATACCTTTTGCTATTAATATAATGGTTCGTGCATTGTATCAATGATATAAATGCACGGATCATTCTTACATAAGCAGAAAGCTAAAAGATAGTGATTTTTAATTTTTTTAATTGTGATATTCTAAAAAATCTAAAAAAGTTACGAGTTAATAAACACGACATTAAACGTAATATGTAATACATATTTGTAAATATAATGGATATAAAATGCAGATCATAATATGTAAATCATATTTTGGTTAATAGCTATCTTAATAACAGGGGAATAAAACATTGTCGAAATGGTTTTACTAGGAAGTTTTTTCGATTGACGTATCGCAAGTTTAGTTTGATTTCGGATCGCTTTTGTCATACTTAATCAGCTACGCCATTTAACAGATGTCATTTCTTTAAGCTTTTCTGTCTATAGTTCGTATAATTTTAAAACAAAAAATAATTTAAGAAATATTTTAGGCTGTACTTCTTCTTAATATATTCCTTAATTTAACTAATTTTAATGTAATTTTCTAGCTCACGTTTTGTGCTTAGAAGTACTTGCACGTAGTGGGAAAGACAATTTAGGATCTTTGCCTGGTATCTATTACGTCTGCAGTCTATAGAAAAGACATGATAGAATAATTGCAGGCTATTTAACTGCATTTTCTTGCCTATTGTATCTTCATTATTGTATAGAACTTGCATTGAAAACTCGAGTTGTAGTGTTATAATTATACATAACTATGATTTGTATAAAATATTGTTCACAAATTACATCGGATAAATACGTAACCAATATGATAATATTTGAAGTAAAAACGTTTGGAAGAGAAAAAATAAAAATTAGTATCTATTTAATAACAAGTGGAAGGATCTCTTTTCGATTCGACTTATATTTCACTTTACATTTTGTGACGCTGTTTCTACTTTCGAGATGTATTTTTATCTCTTCCGGGCGACTGATTAAATCTTTCGTAAGATATTTTAAGTTCTCCTGATTGCAGAAACCAAGAGTGACATACTTCAATTTAGCACATATACGTATACAACATAACAGGATTTTGTAACAAAATTTGTTTGTAAAGAGAGACGTTATTAAAAATATGTAATTTTTCGTAATATATATGATATAAGAATCTGAAAGGCATAGTTCATTCGCGTATTCATACGTGTGTATGCGTGCATATATATTTCAAGGGATAATAATTAATCGAAAATGGATAGAAATTTTCTACGTAACGTTACAGAATCTATATCTTCTATTTTTCGTTTCGTAGATATGTGGGGCGTTTTGTTGTTTGCGTCTCTTGCATTGACTAATGGCGTCGAACATAAAACAATTTATTCGTGGAGCAACGTCGAATATAATTTTCCAAATGACGCTATTCGAGATTCTCTGATATACAGTGGTGGATACGTACCCGAAAATAATATGCCACTTGGTCTAGAAAATTGGAAAGACAAGATATTTGTTACTGTACCTCGATGGAAGAATGGCGTCGCGTCCAATTTAAATTACATCTCAAAGAACGATCCATCAGGTACCTAAGTTGGAAATTTTTAACTCTTAACTTTAACGTAGTAATTAATATTTCGTTTTCTTTTTTTTTATAAAAATATAGAATCCCCAAAATTAACTCCCTATCCTAATTGGGAAACGAATTGCATTAATACACCTGATGGCATTGTAAGCATCTTCCGTGTCAAAGTCGACGCATGCGATCGATTATGGGGTGTCGACACAGGTACTGATGACATTTTAGGCAATAGCACACAAGTACGACCAGTGAGAATTTTCGTAATCGATTTGATAACAGATAAGGTAGTGTAATAAATTTATATTAATTAAAAGCTCACGTTTTAGCACACATTAATTGCAAATTGTAATTTACATATTTATTATTTGCATTAGATTGCTTTTATTATGATCTTCGTTTCAACACACACACACACGACATCTTTTATATTACTGAAACAAAGAAATGAAATTATTCTCTAATAGTAAAAGTTATTTAATAATTACAGATATTGAGAATATATCCTCTAAAAAGTACAGACCAAACTTCAAATTCTTTCTTTGCCGATTCGGTAGTCGATGCAGATCCAGATAATTGTGACAACGCACACTTCTACATTTCCGATTTAAGCGGATATGGTTTGGTTGTTTATAGTTGGGCCAAGAACGATTCCTGGCGAATCTCGCACAATTTCTTCCACTTCGATCCTCTTCATGGTGAGATATTTTATATAGCAAAACATTAAGACGAAAGAAAATATACAAATATGAAAATACCATATTGTATATTTCTTTCGAAATATATCTTCTGTATGTTAACATATCTTTTAAAATATTTTATTTTCTCATATGAACATATTGTTTTACGCTAATACGGCTGTTATTAAAATTTCACGAAAAATTGTATAGGTAGTTCTTGTTTCCAGGAAACTTTAATATCAGTGGATTCAACTTCCAATGGCAGGATGGCATATTTGGAATGTCTTTGTCCGCACCACAAAGCGACAATTATAAAACTTTATATTTCCACGCGATGGCTGGTATCACTGAATTTTCCGTATCTACCGAAACCTTGCAGGATAGCACGTTAAAGAAAGCTAGTAATTATGATGATTTTCACGTCGAGGGTGCGAAAGGTCCACTTACTCAAGGACCTACTTCTGTGATTGATACGAACACTGGTATCGATTATTTCACTCAAGTAAGCAAAAATGGCATCGCTTGTTGGGATACCAGTGTCGAATTAAATCCAAATACCTTCAGTAAGTAATAATTGAAATAATAATTGCCTTCTTGTATTTTTTCCTAAATAATTATTTACTTGAGGATTTATTTGTGATTCTGAGAAATATATATAGCTACAAAATATCATTATTATAAAACAATTGAAAACCTGTATTATCAAAGATTCAAGTAACGTTATAATGATTGATAAATAACCATCATTAGAGATTCTTCTATTGTGCTTATCGAGTTTCTTTTAAGGAAACCTGTCGCAGGAAGTGGTATTTCATCCCAAACAGGATTTTATGTTGCATCGATTAATTCTTACCTAACGAAATTCTAAGAAATCTGACTGGCATTTTGTACAAAGCAACAGTGTATCGACATATTTATAAATCACCATTGTCTTTCATTTTTGCAGTTCTTGCAGTTCAAGACAACACAACGATGATCTTTCCTAACGATTTGTCGATCGATCGGCCCAACAACATGCTTTATGTGCTCTCCGATAATTTACCACAATTTATGTTCTCTACTTTTGACATGAAAAAGCGCAATTTCTTCATCACAGCGGTGAACCTCGATTCTTTAACGCAGATGTGCAAGAAACAGGATCTCAAACTTAAGAGACGTCTTCCTCATATTCTTTAATTAAAAAATATGAATTTGCATAAAAATCGCAATCTAAGTAGCGTTTAGAATAGAAGTGATTTTATTTTATTTCTCTAAATCTACCTTTATTTATTCACAGAAGTTATACAAAAGAATATTCAGAATGATTACACGCGATATGTGAAGACCGCATGAAATATATGTTGTAACTATTGTTAATTCTAACCGTGTTACAGTTAATTTACTTTATCCCTACACCGAATTCTCAGTCATTTATGTCAAAAATCATTCTGTTTTAGAATACATGTTATATCTACAAGTAGTTTCGCCACTGAAGTATTATTTTACGAGTACGGTAAAAGGTTTCCATTATACACATTTGACGGGTCACAATTCGACTTTACAAAATTATTTACTTGATTTAACGAAGTATGTATGAGCACGAAAAAAAGATGACGCTTGTTACAATTCGGTTTATGATGCAGTATTAATACTTTAAAATATTCAGATAATATCAAAATATTTGAAAAAAACATTATTTTGCGTAAATTCATTTTCCTTCGTCATAATTATTTTTGATTAGATTTTTTTACTTCTAATAATACTCTTCTACGCTTCTAGGAATAATAGATTTCGATGTTATGTTTCTAATCGTAAGTACATTTTTCATCCTTTACATCGTCGTCTTTATTACATGGAATTGTTTGGTAAAAAGTGAAAGAAACGATTAAAAATTATACTGCCCCATTATACGAGAGTTTCTTCTATGAACAATGTTGGAAAAGAATGTTATCTCTGATCGCAAATAAAATCATTTTTTAGTATCACTTCACTTGGTCCCAATTTCACGTTCGTCATACACGTATTGTAAAAAATACAATGAAATATAATACATCCTTGAAGACATCTTAATCATAGGATAATACACGTTTTCGACTGAAAATGAAAGAAATTTGTTGGAAAATGTTATATTAAAAATATGTATAAACATAGCGCTATACATACTTTGGATTTTTGATTCGCAATGCCAGTTGTCTTCGTACCGTTCTCTGTTGCTTGTGGCTTCTTACTTTTAAATATCTTCGACATTTTACCTTTAACACAAAGCAAAAGAAGCAATGTAATGTAAATTTAATATTGACACAATATCGGAAATTCATTAAAAATGTAACAAATAAATGGCATTATTCGAAATATACGTAGATATTTTATGTCTATTTTATTGTAGCTTTCTCATTTTTTAGATAAATCTTTTTATCATTTTCTGATTATTTTATACCGCTTACCAGTTCTTGGAGGCGGCGATTGCACATCAGCATCGTCCTGAACATTATCGTTATTCATTTTTTCCTCTTCAATAATTTTAGCTTTGTCGGTTTGTTTGTCGATCTCTATCGTGTCTTCCATGTTCACTCTCGACCTTGTGGACTTAATACTCCCGCTACTCCTCGTGGATTTCATCGACCCTGATCCCTTTTTTTTCTCCGACTCATTTCCTTCAATTGCTTCTGGTTTCTTTTCTGGAGTATCTTCCGTCTTTATTTCATTTTCTCTTTCCATCGACGATGTTTTCTCATTGTCGGTGGAAGAATTTTCATTTGTAGATTTTAATCTCGGTGGTTTTGGCGGTGGCGTGGAATCCGAGGGAGACGTTTGTTTCTCAGGACTCGTCTCTAATTTAGTATCATCGCCATTGCTTGGTTCCATCGACTCTTCCATTGGTTCTGTCTTAACATCTTCACTATTCTTTCGTTTACCATCTGTTTCATCTTTATTTTCCGTATCACCATTTTCAATAGTAATTTCTTCTTTGCTTCCCATATTATTTATCGTAGTTTCTGTGGTCGTTTCGTTATTGTTTCCTTCGTTATTTTCCTCCTTATCCATTGATTCAGATCTCTTTTCTTTTTGAACGTTTTCGCTTTTAACGTTTGTCTTCATCGTTGATTCTTCTTCCTCCTTCTTTAGTACTGAATTTTCGTTTTCTAGTTTCGATTCTTCGGATTCGCCTATATTAGCTGACATTTCTTTCGATGTCATTTCAGCGTTTTCTTCGTTAGACACAGCATTCGATGATATTTCTTCTGGTTTGTCATTCGTAGATTTTTCAGGACTATTTTGAGGACTATCTGATTTTTCGATATTATTCATGGAATCTATAACGTTATTCGTGACATCATCTACCTTATTTTTTATGTTTTCTTCGATTGTTTCCATAGATGTTTCCACAGCTTCCTGTGCATTTGTTACAGATTCCGTAATATTATTTCCTTGATTCAACCTATCTTTGATTATTTCATTAACATTTTCGTCATGAGTCTCACTTTGCAGCCTGTTTACGGGAAGCTTTAATGGTGGCAATGAATTTCTTTTTTGAATGTGTTCCTAGAACGTAAAAGAATTCATATGTTGATTTATTTTTTCTGAGAGTTAATCCTTTCTATTATATTAAATATGTGTCAAGTTTATGTGTCAATAGAATTTTCTTTTAAAACATTCTTTTTACTTATTGAAACAAAACTAAGATTGAGATATGCATATAAATCAGTGGACTGCAGCAGGGTTCAGGTACAATTCTATCTTTGACAGGTTGTAGAATTTTTTTCTTCAAATTGTCGTAGTAATCATGAGAAAATTTTTTAAATTACTAATCATAGAATTATAGGAATCGTATAAATTAATGGAAATTATTATTTATGAAGCGAATTGTAATTACCGTTTGCGAGTTGTCTTCTTTTTGCGAGCGATTATTCGTGTCACGTCTTTGACCGACTAAGATCGTGTGGCAGCCACCACACGCAACCTTCGTAAATTTAAAAATTATCCGTATTTTATTAAATCTTATATGGATTATACATACGAGGAATAATTAAACATGCAGATAAATGTAATTACATCCGAAACGAAGAGCTCCTTGTATCTTTGAACGAAAGTCAGTTCATGGACGTTGTTCTCGTTCTCCTCCAATCCTAATTTTCCGTGCCTTCCGTCGCCACACGTATACAGTTTTCCAGATTCTGCCACGAAAAACTAATGTTATAGAAACGAGGCATAATAACCTTTGTTTGACGTATCTCTCGTATTTATCGATATATTATAGATATTTTAATAAATAGCAATTTTTTAAAAATTTGTATTAATTTTCCACGAAAAAATAAAAAATAGAGAATGAGATGGCGAGAATAATCGGTAGAAATTGTAATAAAACTTACCAGTAACAACAGCGGTGTGACTTTCCCCGCAAGATATTCGAGTAATTGTTTCATTTCGAAGCATGCCACGTGGAAGAAGTTTCGGTATATGAAGTTCCGACAAATTAGTTCCTAGACCAAGCTGACCGCTCGAATTACTTCCGGTGCAATATAAATTCCCATTTTCTGAAAAGCAGTAAAACACGATAGATCAGGAGAATGCTCTTTCTATTCAAAATTTGTAGGGCAAGCATGCGAGATCTGGGATAAAATTGGTAGTAAAATTTAATGTGATTTTTACGAATTACTGTTATCATTTAGCGTAATCTAATTTGTGAAGATTGGAGTTTATGTATGTACATATATTATACCAGCTAGAATGACGGTGTGATGACCACCACACGCGACATGTACAGCAGGACTCGGTAATTGCATCTGTTTAGGCGCGACCTGTGTAGAAAAGCTGGCATCGATCCCCAATTTCCCACTTTCTGACTCACCACACACGTAAACGAGACCACTTTCTGAAAATACCGTTTGAAATTCGAAGAAAATTTGTTAACGCGGTGACACGCGCTACATTCACTTTTATAATGTTATTTTATAACATAAGAAATTACTAATTACAATATAGATATCAATATTGAAATTAATATTTTCTACTCGTGCAATACTAAATACTATAATTCATAGTTTGCGCAATTAAATTTATCTTAATACAAATCGGAAAATGCTCGACGATATCTTGAAATATCTTTTTATATATTTATGAAAAACAAATTAACCATTTTCATATCATAATGTCAATTAATTATTTTTGTATCTCATGAGAATTACAATTTTAGTTAAAAATCAATATGAAAAAATATACATCAACGTGGTTCGTTCTTTCTTTTTAACAATTCTCCGATGTTTTCAATTAACGAGTTACCTGTCAGAAACGTGGAATGATAATATCCGGCGCTAATTTGTTTAACAGGTTCAGGAATATGTACTTTGGTCGGTTTGTTCACCAAGCCAGATACATCTGGAAGTCCCAATTGGCCCTCGAGGTTGCTACCCCATGCGAAAACACCACCATCGCTGGTAAGTGCGAGAGAGTGATGGGAACCAGCAGCAATTTGGACGATCTTTGATCCTGATAGTCCCGAATCATACACCAATACAGGAGTATTTACGGAATCGCCTATTGCGGAAATTCCTCGGCCAAGTTGTCCTTCTTGATCGCTGCCACACGCAAAAATCTTCTGCGATCCTGAAACATCGTGAATTGCTTTCCTTTCCTTTGAATACTTCAAGTTGGAGGTGTTTGATAGGTTACTATTATTATTAGATCGTCACTAGATAATGATCGCTTCACACGAAAGGTAAACGCTATCAAGGAACAAAGAAAGAGAGAAGATACTTATAAGTTAAAAGTTGAATGACTGAGAAGCGGTAGAGAAGTTTCGAACACGCAACGTTATAAATGTGATTACACACCGTAACCAATGTGCCTACGTATATTTAGAAGGTTTTTGGTATCTGTACTGGCATAAATGTCAACAATGCCTTACCTGTGCAAATTAGCGTGTGTGCTCGTCCGCATGCAACGTGAGTGACCCTTTCCGGCTTCAGAGCTAAAAATTAATAGGTTGTATTATGAAAATTTATGATAAATTGAAATGATTGATATCATTTTTATTTTTCGAATCAGATGGTCGCAAAGTTACAGAAGCTATAGAAATCTCAGTTATGGAATTTGAAAAGCTAATGTTTTTTTACAAAAATATATAAATGAATTTTAAATATTTAAAACAACGAACGGTACGGACCTTTTACACAGGATGGCTTGCTGATATGATTTTTATGACCGAGACCAAGTTGACCCCAATCATTGCTTCCGAAGACGAAGAGTCTACCGGTTTCTAAAATCAACGAGGTAGAACTTTTGGTTTCATACGTATTGCTTCACAGTAATAATATCTCTGGTCTTTTTTGTTTACGAATTATCTCATCTACGATAAACAATCGCTCTAATCTTTCTATCTACAA